AAACCTCATTCCCCACACTTACCACTTGATCTAGCTTTAGCTTCATGCTAGTATGTGCATGATGTTAATATGTTATGAGTTAAGTTCGACATAGGAGAGTCCCATATGAGAAGTGAAATTTACAAATCCAAGGGACGCTCTTAGCCACCTAATAATAAGCTCGTCTTTTAAAGTGAGTCTTCTTTTCAAACTTGTACTTATAATATTAATGTTTTTATTGAAAAGTTAAGAAGGCTACCTACATGCAGAGAGTTTTGATTGACAACAAACCGACTAAGGTGCTAGACTAACAGGGGTGCATTGTAAATGTTCATCTTCATTATTAGACGAAAACATTGCTGTCTTGTAAATGTCACTGTGCTTTATATATGATTGCTTATACATTCTATAGGCTTGATGATGATAATCTTTCCAAGCAATGCAATATAGGAAAGATAATCAAACTAACTTGTAATTAGCAAACGTTGGTAGAATAGTTTGCTTCTCATGTCACATGAAGGTGCGTGTTTGAATCTTGTTGATGATGATTGGCCAAAAAAAAAAAAAATCCTCTGGATGATGTAAAAATTTTGTTAGGCTACTCCCTTCAATATCCTAAATGTAAGACACTTGCAAATGTATCACACGTATATGAAGGAAATTTAGTTTTTTCTAAAAAAATATTTCTTGAAAAATTAACATATATTTTCCCTTTTCCTCTTAACCCCCAACTACCATCTAGAATTTGAATAAATTCAATTAAACAAGCATCATGTATAGCGTTCATCAATGTACAAAGATAAAATTGGAAAATTACTTCTTAAAACTACAAAATGCCCACATTAATTTTTACCAATAATAACCTGTCGGATTTGTCTTACCTTTAGGATGTGAGGTAGTAATTAATAAATACCTCTAAGTGTATGAGGTCTATCATAAACCTAGTCATCTCACAAGATCCAATTCATGTATAAACATTTCCTCATGAGAGAAAATGATTAAAAGATTCGTGCGCGCCCCACCACCCCCCCTAAAGTATCTTGAAAATAAAGATTGATCGACTCGTGTATCACTGCTTTCAAGGCATGCTTATATTAATACTCATTTAATAAATAAGACCATCATTTTATGTGTTCACATGTATTGTCGAATATTAATGGAACATAAAATACTACAACATGGTTTGTGAGAACAAGGTGGTCTTACATACATATTTTGTTCTTGTCTTGTACGAAATTAATCCTAGAGACTATGAACACTTTTTTTAAACTTCCTCGTACGAAATTGCATTGACTATAAATTTAAAAAGGAACCTCACCATGCGATAGAGTATGCACAACCTCCTATTGAAAGCCAATAAATAAGGTTGAGTGGAATTAAAGAAAAAATTTTCAAAAAAAAGTGGGTAATATTAATAAATTAGTAGGCTGAAGTGGTTGCCATGAAAACAAACAAATTTACTTTCTTCCATTTTGTTTATCTTATAGCAACAAATTAATTTTTGTTATTTTCTGGCCACTTCATGTTAAAACTAGAAAACAAGTCAATTTGGAGAATATATATCTGTTCTCAGGGGATACTATATGCAGATCCAAATTTGATATAAATATAATAGCATCCTCAGGCTAAAAAGTCTGCGAGTGTGACAAATCAATAACCAATTTATTGGGGAAAAATTCTATTAGATACTCTTACAATTTTTTGTCATGTGAAATATAATAAAAATTTTGAAGTGTAATAATGAAAAACTCTGAATTGTCTAAATCTTTAAAAAAGACAAATAGAATCAGTGAGGAAATAATTACGAATACATCAAGCGTTAAAGTGTATTTTTCCTTGTACTTTCCTTCTATCCTTGAGAAATTAAGTTTGAGAATATTCGCAAGCTCTATAGGGCATCTGGTTCACAACATGAAATCCCATCAACGATGATAAACCCTATTTCACTGGAAAATCTGCAGCTTGATTAAACTCTTGAGCTACATGCTAAGTAATCAACTCCCAATCTCAACATATCAGCTGTCTAGCTTCGACAACAATATCATGATCAAAATTCTCAAAACTAGGTTAAGTAGCAATAAGCTCCCAAGCCTCCATGGAATCAGATTCTAGAATCACTCTCCTTGCGCCTGTATCCCAAACCATTATGAATCCATGTAAACTTGCCCATAGCTCAGCTGAAAGACTATCTTAATTGTCTATGTGACAGCAGAACCCCGAGACAAACTGACCCAGAGAATTCCAAAGTAACCTGGCCTTGTTTTACTTTGATCATGTTTTGCTTTTAGCTCCTATAGTTTATTTTTGTTGTTAATTACTCATCCCTTTCATTTCATTCGTCCATAACATAGTCCTTCAAACCCATAAGGATCATGAATTGGCCTCAACAATATTTATTTTGCTGACATAAACACACTATTAAATTATGTGACGATTTGAAAGAAACAGTTTGGACCATGGCCTGCTGAACAGTGTTAATGCTTAATTCCTCCATGCTAAATGCAGAAGCTAATTGGGGTTAACTTTAGTTGACATCAATTCACTTTGTCTCCTATATTTATTATGTTTTCCAAACTATCTACACCCTCCATTTAAGATTATCTACATGTCAGAGCTATCCATCTTATCCTTAACTTTTATGGAAGAAAGGGCATGGCATCCTCAGCCACTACACCCTCCATTTATTATGTAACCCCTAATAAATTAGTTAACTGTATTCAAACCTATACTATCTTTCTATATTTACTATTATATAATAAAGTGTTTTACTTAAAAATAAATGTAAAATGATTCATTTATTAAGGGCATTTTTTGAAAAACACATTGATCACACATTGAAATACTAAAAATGTCTTACATTTTTAAACATTCAGCCCTTTAAAAAATGCCTCATATTTTTTAAGGAAGGGAGTATATTGATATTCTCTCAATATGAAACGTAGCAATAATTCCAATGCAACCATATATTTTACATAGGGGTATTTTAGGAAAATCAAGGCATATTTTTTACAATTTACTTATTGACTATCTAAATTTTTTAATTTATACTCCTTTTAGTCCTATTTATAAAGTAAAGATATTTTTTTTATTATTTATAAGTTATTTATTAAATTGTTATCACAAGTTTTTTCTTTATCCCTATTAAATGTTGGTGAGAGAAAATACTCTTTCTATTCAATATTATAAGAATTTTTTTTGTAAGTATCATATTAAAAGATACTACCTCCAGTCCAAAATATAAATATTTTTTTCCATTGATCTTTGTTTAAAATATAAGCACCTTAATATTTATAAATGTTTTTTCCATTTTACCCTCTTATGGAAACAATATATATTTTCATGCGACTAAGAATTTTATTGGTATGTGGATTGTTGTTAAAAGGTACTTATATTTTGAAGCAGAGGTATTATAAGACATTTCAGGTATTTTAAGGTGTAATTAATTTAAATTTTCAGAAATAATGCCCTTAATTAATGGGTGTCATTAATAATTTTTTATTTGATTGAATTGGTGCAATATGACATGTTTTTATTAGATAGTCCCTAGATGATGTGGTGTACTTAGTTCATCTAAGAATTTCTCCAATTAACTAACTCATTTGGGATACAATTTGATCAAAAGTGCCTTATAATTCTAAACAAAGAAAGTATGTTATTAATTTTTTAAAAATTTAATAACAGCAAAGTTAAAAGTTTATGAAATTTTCAAACAAAGTTAATAAAATTTAAAATTTTCCTTATTTTAGTGAAATACTGAAAGTAATTTAAAAATAAAAAAAAACACGGATTAGATAAGATAATTAATTTTAGTGAAAATGACAACTAAGGACCCTATAGACCATTAATTACAATTAAAAACCTTGAGTTATTGAAATGCCAATGATGGACCATGGTCCTTACTTTAAATTAAAAACATGCGTTTAAAATCAAGCAATGACATTTGGTCAAAAAAAAAAAAAATCAAGCAATGACACTATTGATGAGTTGATACAATTGTTAATCTAAGTTGGGAAAACTATGGACCATACTTGAATATGAGTTGTTTCTCAATATGAAATTAAAATTCACTTGTGAAGCTTCCAAATGACACTTTGAAATATACGATTGTAATTTAAAAATTTACTAAAGTCACTTCAGAATATAAAGCTAGTCACTTGTGAATTTTCATGTTTATCAATATATATGTAAACTATTTCAAAAGTAAGAAAATATTACTGAAATTACTATTATCGATTAGGACTATTGTTAATCTTAATTGAAAAAATAAGATCCCAAGCGTTATGAGTTGGGATTATTGTTAATCTTATTCTCAAGTATGAATTCTAGTTTTTCAATTAAGATTAACAATAGTCCAAACTCATAATAATAATTTTAATAGTATGTTTTCTTAATTTTAAACTCATAGTTTTAATTCTAAATAAGCACTATAGTTCATTATTCAGATTTCAATAATTTAAGATTTTTAATAATAATTAATGGTCTTATGAGCTTTGTAATTGTCATTTTTCCATTATTTTAGTAAGTTCTCGCTGACTAAAGACTAATGAGAGCCCAAGAGTCAATTCACCGTTGGCCACTTCTCCCCAAATCCCAACTCCATCACCACCCTAAAGTGCCCACTGTTTTCACATTTCCACACACACACGCACACTCTCTCTCTCGTCCCACGATTCCGGGATCCCATATAGTCCGAGAATGGTTGCTTCCCCAGTCTCACACATTTCACGCGCTACAAACTCGCTCTCTCTAATTGACATCTGTCACTTGCAGTCTGTGCCCGGAGTTCAGGTGCTTCTCCGATTGTCCACCGTAGCACAGTAGTCGTCTAGCCGAGCGTTTAGTCCCATACAAGAACCTACCAAAAAAAAAAAAACAACAACAACTAACCAGTTTTCCTCTTTTTTTGAGAAAAAAATAATTTAAAGACAAACAAAATAAATTAAAAGCCACTACAGGCTTTCCATATAAAGTATTCGAACTTCATTATTCATAGAAAGCCTCTCTAAGTAACTAGAACTCCCCCCCCCCAACCCCCCAAAAAGAAAAAAAATCTCCTCCTCCATCTTCTTCAAATTCTTCGGCCAACTTCAACAATTTTTCTGTTAGTTCCAGTTTCTGAGACATACATCCTTTACTGATTAAGATTTTCTTTGTTCTTTTGTGTGTTAATTAATTTCTTCTACGAGTATATGGAAGCTTTTATTTTCTGATTTGTTGTGTGGTTGATCTGCAAGGCGAAGCTGTGAAGAAGCCCTAGAAGAATGGGAAGAGGGAAGATTGTGATTAAGAGGATTGACGATTCAACAAGCAGGCAAGTGACTTTCTCAAAGAGAAGAAATGGATTGCTCAAGAAAGCAAGAGAGCTTTCGATTCTCTGCGACGCACAAGTTGGAGTCATTGTGTTCTCCAGCACAGGCAAACTCTATGAATATGGAAGCTCCAGGTATACATGCCATCTTCCTAATTTCATTATTCTTTTTGATTTGTTTTATCAGAAACTAGAATATCATTTTCTTATTGACAAAACCACCTCTGTGACTTGTGAATTTGAGGTCCAGGATTTGAATCCTGTATTGACTTGTGTGTGTGAATTGTAAATGTTGAATTGATTACTTCAAAGAAGAAGAACAGCATTTTCTGGGAAGCTCTTGATCTGAATAATGTCTTTTCAGCCTTCAGGCTTTTCTTTTTTCATTTTACTAATAGAAAAACTGTCTTGAATCTGATATTCCGTCAGGCACTGGAATTAAAATCTTTTTTTATTTGTATATATGACCTCTTTTAACATACATAATATACCGCAAGAGAATCTGAGATTATTGTAATTGATGCTTAGTTGTATATGTTTGGCTAATATTTTTCTGCTGATTTTAAATGCTCGTTTGGGTTTGATATAGATCCACGCATCCATGAGTGTTTGCGTGATGTTATTTTTTCTGAATTGCAATAATCTGAGTCAGTTTTATGAAATAACATCGTCTTTCTTCTTCTTCTTCATCTTATTTTCTCCAACTCTTCTTTTTGGCCCTTTTGTTCACTCTTAATTAGAACGAATCTCTTAGTTTTCATGCTTTAATTAGTTATATGCAATTCAAATCCTTCACTAGCTTGCCTACTTAACTCACTGATTGACAGATACATTTTCTTTGTTTTTTTGTTTGGTAAATACAGAAACACTTTCTTTAGAAGTACTCTAAGAATTCTTCACAGTTTTTGTTTTAAAGCTCTTCACGGTCATCTCGTTTTCTCTCTTCTCCTTTCAAACTTCACAATAATTAAAAAAAAAAAACTTAAATATTCAGCTCAAAAATATTGGAAATAAGCTGAACTAGTTATGATGATCAATGGATTGTGGATATATAGTCTTCCTATGCATTGATCGAGATGAGATCATGCTATATAAAGTAATTAAACAAAAAATATATACCTTCTAAGTTATCTGCACTGCAGATTACTGATTACACACACAAACACACGCATGCGTAGAGATTTTGCACACATAGAGAATGATTCATTGATTATGGTTGGTTTTTTTAATTTATGATAATTATTTGGCGATATTGCAACGTAATACAACTAGGCAATTTATAACATTTGACATAGCATATCAATAAAGATTGGATTGGCATACAACTGAGATGTACTTGAAGGAATAACTGTTAGGACAATAATATTGACAGTTAATTTAAAATCTTCAGAATATATAGTTTATATTTTATTAAATAGAAGAACTAATATTATTTATAAATAGAAATTTAATCTTTTCTGTTAGGAAGAATGATAGAGAGGTCCCAAAAGGATCAATTAATTTAAGTTAAATCTCAAGTGTCAAATTTTAGGAATTTGCAAATCAATCTCTTAATTTTGGAACTCTATTGTGATAAATTTGTAACTTATATTCTAAATTTTAACAAGAAAAATAATGTTTTTATTCTTCAATCATGTTAAAATTTAAAAAATAAGTTACAAATTAATCACAATGTAGTTGTAAAATTGACAGATGGACTTACAAATTTTTGAAATTTGACACTTGGGACTTACTTTGAATTAATTGATCCTTTTGGGATTTCTTTGTCATTCTCCCTTTCTGTTAACATATGCTAAATAAAAATTTGAGAAGAAAATTAGATTTTGCAAATTTAAAAAGAGCTGGTTTTAATAACACCCACCCACACACACAAACAATAACTTATCTCCCTTATACAAACAGAATCATCTACCCTAGATTCTAGATTCTAAATTATGCTCGTACAATATGTAAGTAAAACAATATATCACTGTACTCATGTGTTTAATTCAATTAATAAATCCTAATACAAATATAAGATTCAATTGGATGCTAATTGAAAAGATTAGCTCGCTATTTTTGAAAATGACCTGTTGGTCTTTATATAGAGACAGAAAAGAATTGAAAATATAGGGTTGGGTAAAGTTAGGGGGGATTGATCAAAGCCGAAGCATTTTTTTTTTAGATGCACGTTAATTGGCATTTTATGGTGCTTTTCAATGTTTAAGACAGAGATAAATATATTTTAAATCATGTAAGTCAAAATACAACATCAAATATATATTTGTGTTCGTATAACTATAAACTCAGGGTAATTAAATGATTTGAAATAAATTTTAATTATGGTTCAAATTTCAATGAGATTATAATGCGCACGAATATTTTTAAAAAACAATTAATGATCACGTTAAAATATAGTCAAACCGTAATGTTTCAAAAGTTCAATTAGTTTTTTTTTTTTTTGCCACAAATTTCAATTAGTCTAGTATAACCATTTATAAATTTCAAAATTCATAAATGCACTCATTTTGAACTTCAACTTCTTCCCCTACAAAAGATTACATTCAATAAAAGGACACTTGGCCGCAATTAAAAAAAAATCGGATTGTATCTTGAAATTTTGGTGTGCGATTATGCTACATCACTACTTTACAATTGTCTGTATGATTGCATGGATTGGCATGTTGTCAAGGATTCTAGGGCTTGCATCCTCAACATATAAGGATATACTTTATATCATGTATTCAATTTACCATGTCCATAAACTGAAACTGCATAATAACTAGGGTTATTTGGTTACGTTAGATTAAAAAGAAAAAAAAAAATCATTCATTGTTTTTTTTTTTTCATTTTACTAATTGACTCTCCGTTTATGGCAGCATGAAATCTACTATTGAGCGCTACAACAAAGTAAAACTGGAACACCATCATCATATGAATCCTGAATCGGAAGTGAAGGTACGTACTACACACCACATACAATTCTTCAAGCAACTTACAATATTTATTTATACAAGTCTTAAAAGCATACATTTCTAAAGCATGATTTTAATATATATATATATATAGAGTCAGTATACACTTGTTATCCAAGCAGAATTATTATAAAACATCACAAATACACTACAAGAAAGAAGATTTAGTTGTGCTTTCATTTCGGCTTAGCCCTGGTTGATTTTAATTAACTGAAATTTTAACTTGATCCACGGCCAAGTTTAGTGAACACTAATTCATGAAGGGGTGTGTGTGTGTGTGTGTTAGCATATAAAGGTAAATAGCCAAACAATTATTTCCTTATTTGGCAAAGATATGAAGCACCAAGTGCCATATATATATATATGTATGATCTAGTGATATTAATTGACACTAACAAACATGTCTTTTCATATGAGCAAAATTTATGTATAGTTGTAAATTTTTCTCAAGATTGAGATAAACCAAGTAAAACTAATGTTCTTTCCACTTTCCTCTTACGTCCATGAATGATAGGGTCAAGGTGCTAAAATGTCCACATGATTAAATTAATGTCAGGAAGCAAAGGTGAGGAATAAAATCTCCATAACTAAGAGTATATCCCAACCCCTAGATACAAATTCACACAGAAATTGGAGAGACAACTCTCCTTTAAGAATATATTCAAATTCTGATTATTGGATGATCATACAAAGAAATGAACCGCCTATTTATATTCATGCTACAGGGATATTTTTCATCCTAAATCAAAGCATTCAAGATAGGTTATGGAGTTTAATTACTCATTAATTGCGGGGGTTGCTATCTATTACTGTGGAACATATTACTGTTTATGAGACAGCTCTCTCATTCTGAAAATATTCTCACAGTAGTATTAATCACAGTTTTTGTGGTCAAGCATTCAACTTCATATGAAAGAACCAAGGATTTCCTCACAGAACATCTCATCTCTTTATGAAACTCATTTCTCTATATTAACCAGGTGGATATTCCTTTTTGGTAACTTTACGTAGAGATTTTCTTTTTCAAGTTTAATTTATCTCAATTATTAATTGACATGCTAAGCAGTAACATGTGAAGCTTGATAGGAATGAAAAATTCTAGTGTCTAATGACGTGTTCAAGTAATAGGCATTGTGTTTCATTGCTTGTTAGATGCTTGATTCTTGTTGATCGTAAGAAATCCTAAGTTTTGGATATTGGGATTCATGGTTAAAATGATGTGTTTTGGTGTGCAAAGGGTTGTAATGGCACAATTGAGCTTGAGCTTGAAGAGGGCTCTTAAAACCTACTGAAGCTTTCTTGGGTTAGTTGAGACCTACTTGATTGATGAATAGGCTTGTTTCTCATAATAGCCTTGTTGAATGACTGATGTTGTGTCAATAATCATTCGTAGTGAAAACTATTTTCAAGCAGCTATCATACCATAGTGAAAACTATTGTTCTTGCGTTTGCATGAGATTGTGTTAATATCATATCATAACTCCCAATTGTTGTTATAGTTTATAATTTCAATGCCCATTCAGTGACGCACTTGGTAGGTTCTCAAAGTTACAGCATGGGTATTTCATTGCATAGAAATATATAACCTTTTTTACCAAGTGGTATTACCATATCCCTTTTTACTTGTGCATGAGGCCTAGTGAGGATCTGGGGGTTGAATTTTGTTGCTCATCAAAGTGATGCTGCTCATCATAGTGATGAGATCTGAGTCATACAGAACTTATTTTAACAATTTATATTTAAAAATCTTAACCTACGATTTGTTATAAATATTAGTTTTTGGCAAAGTGGCAGTTATATAAAAATAAAATTATATTAAAGATGAACTGTCTAATTTTGATTTGGATGGTCCAAGGTTGGTGCTTATCACCAAAAGTGATGGGCATTGAAACTGGTTTGATTATGTTGCAAGAGTTGGAGCCATGAGGCAGGGGCCTTCAAACTGGTTTGATTATATATGTCATCCATGGTCTATCTAATACAGTTGCATCAATCTAATCAAATAAAATTTTATGTGTCATTATTTTTACTGATTTTATTTTTATAATAAAATGCTTATTTAATTTCTTGCATTTTTTCTTTTTACTATCATTAACATCAAAATTAATTTATAGTTAAATGCAATCTGAATGTCATATTTTTATTGGATGGACCATGAATGACGTGGTGCATCAGGCCTATCTAAAAACTTCTCTACATTAAGGAACCCTATAAATGTAGGGAGTTGTAACACTAAAAATCACCAAGGGCATGTGTTGATAACACCTAAAGACACCTTTAGAAGAAAATGAAACCAAAGGAAGTATTAGTTCATGAAAACCCTGTTACTCTTGAAGAAAAAGTCCATTGATTAAATAGCAATAATGGTTCATGAAACACCATGAGAATATGCCTTTTTATTGAAGAGTTGTGTTATTTCAAGAAACACCACTTCATTGTTTATTAATAGCCATTACCACAACTACATTCACCTTCAAGAATTTATTATCTTTAACTTTGAGCAAAGGAAAATTATCACTTCGTAAAAACTATTATTATCTTGACTTAAAGGAGTTTTGGGAGAGCGAACCATGTTAAAAGGTCTTAATTGTATTCTAAAAGAAATTAATCAACAACCCAAATTGCACAAAATTTGAAATCGGAGGGGCTAATAAAACCTGAAGGAAAGTGCTACCCACCTTTTGAAGACTTGCACACATCTTTCTTCTTCATTTTCTTTTCATCTACTCTTCAAAGGACAATTACCTCCAGCTACTGTAACCTTAAAACTGAAAAAATGAAGACTTTATTTTAACTCTCTTTTTTCCCTTCTTATTATTGATGACCATTGTAGGTCATTTGACTGGGTAAATTTTATTAGGTAGATTGTCTAGTGGGAATTCTCCTATATATATATATATATATCATTATTTGGATTGTTTAAAATATGAGAGCCTGAAGCATTTTGTAAAATAGCTAAATGATCAAGACAAGAAAATAAAATGTCAAAAGGAATTCTCAAATATTGACTACGAAGGCGAAAGATGTCAAATATTTATATGCAGGTTGACATTCAACCCCAAGAAAAATGCAGGTTCACTAGTAAAGATGAATTACTTGTAATTACGTACTGTCAAAAGTTTATTATAATTTTATATGCTAAGAATTCGTTTCTTCTTACTGCACTTGCATGACTCTTTATTTCATATAATATTTATAAACTATATTAATTTATTTGATATATGTGTTTGCACTGGCAGTTTTGGCAGAGAGAAGTGATAGTATTGAGGCAACAACTGCAACACTTGCAAGAATGTCACAGGTAACCAATTAATTTCAACCGCCCAACAGTCAAAAAACTGTATAATATGAAAATCGAAAAACCTGGAATAATAAGCATTGACATGCACAGGTGACAAAATGTGGAACTAAACAAAGGCCAATTAAAAAAAAAGAAAAAAGAAAGAAGAGGACATGATGATAAACATTGGGAAAATGGAAATGATCAACAAGCACTGCAACACACTACTTTTGAACTCCCTAAACTTTTTTTTTTTGCTCTTTCAAATAATGCAATTGTACTGTTTCTAGTTGTTCTGACTATAGCAAGCGCAGCCATTTACTGAACCACACGTTACTTGTCAACAAATGAGATCATTAATTTGAACTGAAAAATTGCATGTGTTCCAGGTAAATACAGTAGAACCAAACACCATAGCTACTAAACAACTGAGAAGAGAACCTTTATAACCTTGAAACCAAAAATGAAGTCAACCTGTATATATCACCAAACATTTCCAAGAAATCATGCATACTCAAAATTACTTGATGACTGCTTGGCTTTGGAAGGAAGAAAAAAGCATATAAGGTGGTTTTTCATTTCTTCCTATTCCTCCAACAACCTAAAAAATCTCTAACAAAAAAATTAGGGAAGAATTGATCTCCTTCAACTATTTCAACCAACAACATCAGCTGTAATGTCTTTTTCATCAGTTGTCATGGACACTATTTTACAAACTAAATAAAGAAAAAGAACAAGAGAATACAGACAGAAACAGAGAAAAGTCCTGAATCTCATGATACACTTATAACAAAAGATCTCTAATCTAAACCATGATAAGATGAAGTCCATAATACTGGCAAGCTTTACAATGAATATAATTGTTGGAACAATTCTTGCTCAGACTACATTTCTAGGAAATTTTGTTCAATTTCATATTTATTTGTTTAACTAAAAAATTATATTGTTTCGAAAATATATGATTTCCTTTTGGTAAACATATAGGCAATTGATGGGTGCACAACTTTCTGGTTTGGGCATTAACGAACTGCAAAATTTGGAAAATCAACTGGAGATGAGTTTAAAGGGTGTCCGAATAAAAAAGGTATGATAGATTAATTTAGACCATTATCCTCATTTAATATTACATGTCACTACTTTTACATTACAGGAATTAATTATATATTTTCATAAATTGATGAAACTAATTTATTTGTAGAATCAAATATTAACTGATGAGATTAAAGAGCTGCAGCAAAAGGTATTCAGTAATTTTTTTCCCCCTTCCATGTTTGAAAAATTTTCCCACAAATTGTAGCAAACTCATTGATATACTATTGCAGGGAAATCAAATCCGTCAAGAAAATGTACAACTCCATAAAAGGATAGACCTCGTTACCAAAGAAAATGTAGAACTACAAAAGGTAAGTCGGGGCAAAAAGAGAAACACATTTCATTCATATATATATATATATATGTATGTATTTACCTGATCCTGTGTCACTGAGTAGATGATTTTATCTTAATTAGATTCATGAAGCGAGGATTATGAATGAAGAAAATGGGAATTCCGATCAATCATACAATATCAGTAACACATATGGTTTACAAGCACCAAACCTTCTGCAGTTGAACCAGCCACGACCTCAGTATACTGAACTCGGGTATGTTGCTTCAAACTGATCATATATACTGATATACATATAGTTTGAATGTGCACGCACGTCTCACTGTTGTGTTGTGTTTTGTTGTTCAGTCTTAAAAACTATAACTAAAATCCCCAAAATTCTGTGACAGATTACAGCTTCTCTAGCAATAACTCTTTGACAGCCTCGGATTGTCAGACAGCATGCTGCCAGCAACTTTTTTCTGCAAAACGATCAAGTTTTCTGTGAGGGAGACGTTTCACTTCAGCAAGTTAGAACGGCATCAATAATGTTTTCATGGTATGACATGATCCATTGGCAATTATTCCTGTAAGGGTCAGCCGTATTGCATATTGTTGTAAATTTATATATAATATAAGAACTCTAACCAGCTGCGTATTAAGCCATGAGTTTTCATTTCTTAGACTTCATGTGACCTATGGACTACTTTAGGTTACGTTGCTTGGTAATAATGCCACGCGAATTAAAGAGCTGTCTTAATCCTTTTTCATCTTTTAAATTTCTAACCATTTATATATATAGGGGCGGAAGCAGAGCTTGGAGTGCAGGGGTTATCACGCCCCAAAATATGGGAGTGTTCAACATGGGATATGCATTGGAACTCACATCCCTGAAGCCTTAATTCAATAAAACTCTAATTAATATCTTTAACTTAATAATAGCATAATTAGGAAATCTTTAAATTTCTATCCACATAAACAAAAAAAACTTAAACTTTCTATGAAAATTTTGACAGAACCTTTCCTATAAATAAGATCTCCCAAAATTTCTATAACAACCATTTACAACATCAATTCAACAAAAAGGGGCTCTGCTCCTCAACAGTAGTTAGACAGCAAAATAAAAAGATCAAGACCCTAAATATAATCAGTGTAGAGCATCTAGATACATAGATTTCAAAATTATATCAAAATAAAGTTATTTCAAAAATGAATATCCACCCAGCTCAACAATAAGCCCTTTAGTAGTTAGCAGGAGACTCGTTGTAAATTAAAGTATCGGAGACCAAAATAATTTTATAGTGATTAATGTCCCAATTTAATATTTAAGAAAAAATAAGGGAAGAGAACAATTATGATTTTGACAAAAAATAACCATTAACATAGTAAAACTCATATTGCATAGTTTAACCAATTATATATAAATATTGAAACCAAATATATATGTTCAATTACTATAGGAGAAATCAAGTTCAACTTCCAAGTTACAATCTTTGTCTTAAACAACTGAGTTATTTAATTCATCTTGTAAAATTTTATACAATGAAACAACATATTTAAAACAAGTTTCCAAAAATCACATTTTAAGAAGATTTTACCAGAACAAAAAATAAGTGTGAACACAAAAGCCCACAAAGGTAAATAACCAATCAAGCATGGGAGCAAACCACAAAACAAGCACGTTAAGAAGCCATAAAATAAGCGCAAGTTCAAAAACCATGAATAACAACTATGAGTAATAAGCATGAGTACAATGCTCATTGTCATACCCTGATATTAAAGATGTGACCGGCACGGAATATAAAATAAATTCATATTCCATAAGCATTAATTAACCAAAATTTAAGCTAAATATAGAAAACTAATTCGTATATAATTATAAAGTTTATAAAGTCTTAAATATTTTGTAAAAATTTTGGCAAAGTTTTTCTTATAGTTAGGACATCTCAAAATTTCTACAATAGCAAAACCTATTATCCAACCTAGCAAAGGAGATTAGTCCATGAGGATAAGTAACTAACAAGTACAACTTTAAGCCATGAAATGATCAGGTGCGGCTAGAAGCCATGAAACAAGCACGAAAAAAGTCACCAAACAAGCACAAGTATAAGACCACAAAACAAGTGTGAGTACAATGCTCACGAATACCAAGCCAGCTAGGATTTAACCATAGCGTACCAAGGGCTAACAAGTATGCTGTTAATAGCTAGCATTTTGTATTAAATCCCACCGAAACATTTTTCAAAAATGCATGGAATCAAATAAAATTTTGTTTTAGACTAAACCATAAATATCAATAAAAATGATAAAATTCAAGTAAGCTTGCCTTAATAAAATCTGCCTTAAGGATAGTTTACTTTAGAAGCATGGCAGATGGAAAAATATCATCTATAAAAGTAATTCTTACATATATTCTTTTGAAACATAATTCCAACTCTTTCAATAAAATTTAATATAATGGAAGCATTTCCATATATAATGGTCAATGATGAAATTAAAACCATAACATCATATATATATAGATATATATATCTAAATATGTTCAATCAATATTTTTAAGAAAATAAATTTGCTAATAAGTAATTGGGACGCTATTCAATTACCTAAAACATTCTTAAACATATACCTTGCTCATGATTAGCCACTTTTGTAATATTACCCATGCCTTAATTCCCTAATGCTCCAAGGAACATTATTGTTTTTCCTTTTATACATTTTATAAATCAAAATTTTCAACCCAAACAAATTTAAAGAATTGGGGAAGAAAATCTCAACATTAAAGCACAAATAAAAGCCATGTTGAGTTTAATCAATAAATCTCCAACTAATATGCATATAAATAATATTCAAAGCTTTCAATTCTTTCTAAAAAAATAAACAACCACTATGACTCATTCAACATTACCTTTCACATATATCCAAATTCTATAAACTTCATTCCTCAAACATTTCATCAATCACCTTGTATGCATTCAAGCTTAAACCATTCAATAACCGTCCTACTCTATAAATATCTCCCATGTTTTTTTTTTTACAATCATCATCATTTAAATTTATCATGCTTCTTAAACTCAATTCCTTGCCAGGAGTCAATTTCAGCTGAGAAAATGAAACCCAATCAAATAACGTTACTCAAGACGAGTACAAACGCAGCACTAGTTTATAGAATAAAAGGAGAACAAAAGCACTTGGGTCAATTTAATAAGCAGTGACAATATGAGAAGCTTTAGCTGAAACATCATTCAGACATTAGCATGTGCACGAATCCAAATTTTTTTTTTAAAAAAAAACCGAGAAAGCAATTAAAGTTGGGCACATAATGTAAACTCCTCTACTTTTGAGTTTAGCATTGAAATAAAAACAATTCCATCTCCTTTTCCCACTCACGATCAGTAACCGAAACAGAGGAAATAAATAAAATTCATCCCGCCCTCTCAACAACTAATTTAGAAGAATAGAAATTCCAGCAATTACCCCGTCACAGGAACCAAACATAATCGACGCAAAGGAGAGAAAATAAAGCTTAAACTCACCAAAGATGAAAGAAGAAAATGGATTGAAGGATTTGGAATCTCACCCTTACACACAAAACAACGCCGTCGTTGAACAAGGAGGAAGAAGATACCAGCTCTAGTCGACGGCGTGAAGGAGAGAAAAGAAAGGAAGAAATGAGAACTTGGCCTCCAGGAGTGACGGACGAATACTGAGAAGGAAGAACGGATAGCATTGGATCAAGAAAGAAGAACTCGGCGGTGCAATACACGGGAGAAAAACTCGCACGACAGCAACCAAGGAAAAAAGGAGAAATCACTCGGCTTCCACCACTCCCAACAGCGGCACAGCTTCAGCGAGCAGAGGAAAAGGTTGAAGGGGAGGAGAGAAGTCCGATTGTGACGAGAAAAATCTGATAGTGAAGAGAGAAGAAGAGCACATTGTCGGTAAAGAAGAGAAAGAACGCAGATGCTCTCTTTTTTTGTTTTTTTTTTCGCAGGAAGGAAGAAAAAAATCTGATCCAAAGAAAACAAAATGGAAGAATTACCAGAAAGAGCCCAAAAAAATTACAAGGAGGGGCACAAGGAAAATTTTCCTACTCTTCAAAACAAAATAAAATCAAGCTTTTGCTCAGTAGAATTGGAATTCAAGACCTTCAAGAAAATTTACTAGCATAAGTTTCAATAAATTATCACTCTCCACTTGCTTAAAACTAATTTAAATAAAATATTAATTGAGATATAAAAAAAATTTATGGTCATTACACTCACGAATACCAAGCTAGTTAGAATTTCTCTGGAGTACGCCTGGGGCTAATGAAACTATTTTAAGCAACCAAAGTTCTAATTCAATCCCAGAATTCAAATCAAGCATGCATGGGTTTATAAAATCAACATTTTAACTCTTCTCATCTTAGCAATCATTAAACAGTACCATCAATGTTCTCCCATGCATGAACCACAATAGATAATTGTTCTTTAAACTATAAGATCAATCAATATTAACATAATAAATACTTGGAACATTTATTCAAAAAACTAATTCAAATTCCTTTCACAAAATTTAATGTAATGCAAGAATTTCTATATATAATAGTTGATAATAGAATTAAACCATAACATTAGATACATATATTATATATGAATATGTTCAATCAAATTCTAAAGAAAATTAATTTACTAATAAATTATTGGGGCACTATTCACTAATTTGAGTCATGCCCAAATACTAGAATTCACGCCTTAGAACTATAATCAACTCTTCCTTCCTCGAACACCCTAATATTCATTATAAAGGAAGATTTAATAACCTTTCTCTAGTTAAATAAATTATTTTTCAATATTGGCAACACTATATAATCAATCAAGTTCCAAATCATTATAATTTCCTCAACCAAGCCTTAATTTCTTTACTCTTTTAATGCTTTATATACTTACTCCTCTATCCAACACTTTGATTACATTGTAACTTGTCTTGCCAACTTTTTCTCCATCACCAACAACTAACTTTAACCAAGAGTGTGTATACCTATACACACACGTCACTTAATCACCCTAAAAATCCAAAGTTCTTCTTCTATCATCCATTTTATAAAAGCAATGCCACTAGTTTATAATTACCAAAATCAAGTCATAAAGCAACACCATAGTTTATAATTACCAACCATACAACTCTCAATAACTCAACTAATTACACTCTAGTTCCGTAATAAGCAATTTCTTGTAATACTCAAGCCAAACACCCAAATAAATAATATGCAAACTAGTTATGTTTCTCATAAGAGTTAACAGGATTTTTGAAATTGCATAATCAAGCAAAAGCCTCCTAAGAAGCATTTTATCAAACATCTTATAGGCATTAATCCTTAAACCAAGGCCCTATATGCCTCAAGGCTAATGAGGCTACTGCCTTATGCCTCAAAAAAAAAAAAATCTTATCCTAATATGTGTTTGTGTTATTAATGTAATTGATATTTGTATTGTTATATATTTAATTATAGATAAAAAAAATAAAAAGTATTGATTCTTTTTCTAATTGAAAAAAAAAATTTAATCATTTACAATATAACTTTATTTATTAGGTTAAGCCCATTATTTACTTGGAAAAAAAAAGTGAGATCCATGATATACTAATTTACATTATATCATCTTATCAAAAAAAAAAAATTA